GACTCCAAGTAAGGAAGAACAATAATCTTTAGACCATTTTGTTTACGATGTTTGCAAGTTGAACTACTCTCCTTCATATAAAATTTCAATATCCTTTATCAAGCACTTGAATCTGACCTAAAATTGCAACCATCACTATAACATTCTTCTTGCTATATTCTGAATTATTATATAGACACCTAACATAAATAGCTTTATAACAGTATATTATCTTCTTCACTAAATGGTCTTTAATGTAGACGGCTTGTTTTTCTTTTTTCCTTTTTCTTTTTTTAATTCAAAAGTACACTCAAAGAGGTTGAGAATCATTTCACAGTGATATTTCTAATTGCTTCAGTTCATTTACAGGGTAAATTATTTGCTTCAGGTAAGGTACCTTTGAATGCACATCTTCATTACATTTGATTTAAAATGTAAATTACTTCTTCATTTTGGTATGTTGTAGGTGGTTATAACATGAAAATCTAGACCCTGGGCTCTAGAATCAAGCTATCCAACTCCAACCTTACTTGTGTAATGGACAAGTTACTCAAATTCTCTTAGCTTTAGTTCCCCTATCTGTAAAACCAAATAACATAGTAGCTGCTTCATAGAGTGACTGGGATTCAAAAAGACTATATATATACACACACACACACACATATATATAAAGACTATATAAACATATATATGTTTTTATATATATAAAGTGATTAGCACTGTNTACACACACACACACACATATATATATAAAGACTATATAAACATATATATGTTTTTATATATATAAAGTGATTAGCACTGTGCCTGGCACAAAGCAAATTCTCAGTAAACATTATCTCTCATTATAATTATTATTACAGTATGAAAGCTTAGTTAACCCCAAAGTCAACAACAGGTTGATAATTCTTGAGCATAACTTATTAAAACAGCCTATACTCCATCAAATTTAGGCACATTACTAAGCTGATGATAGATCTTACTCTGTTCCAGGTAATGCTTCTTCAAAACAGAATCCTAACTGTAATCTTGTGCCCTCTTTGAATACAGTTAACAGACCTGCCAGCTGAACAGGGTTGGGGAAAACTATAGTCAACTACATTATCTCTGAGAAACTCAGAAAGTTATATGTTTCTAAGAAAAACAGACCTAAAACAATCAGCATTGGTAAAGTAGTTAACCATTTAATTAAAATTAACTATCTTCCTCATTCAATCTCTATTTACTAAATTTCATGTATAATTTTCTTCCAAGCCCCATTTCCTCCACCAAAAAAAATATTTTTCACTAAGTGAAAGAACTTATGCCTAAAATGCTAGGATAACTTCTGCCCATTTAAAAAATAACATATATACAATATAAATGCATAAGTAATATATATAAATAAAATATAAGAGCTGGTTAGCATGTACATACATGGAAAGATATTAGATCAAGAACAAAATCTCAATAGAAACTAAAAATAAGAGTTCACAATGTACTATCAATAAGGAATTGCTTCTCATATTCCAAAAGAACTTCACATACATGAAGAATGCTCCTAAAAGATTTTAAAGAAAATTATCTCATCAATTTGGGGGAGGGGGAAGTCCCACTAATCATCAAGTAAAAACACACCAATTTTCTCCATCAAGAATGTACCCTACAAATAAATTATCCATTAACCCAACTGTTGTGTAGGTGAGAAGCCACACTGCTACCTCTCCTATTGTCATGTCATAATGATATCAAATGAAGCTTAGCCTACCATTTGGAATAAAAATGAAAAAGAAAATAAGTGGGAAGTCTGTGTACACACAGCAAAACTGTTAATAGCTTGACATTTTATTTTAGTATTCCACTAGTTGTAATTATACTCAAAGCAATATGAGCATCACAGCCTAAAACGTATGTTTTAATGTTCTGTTCAGTAATGTCCTATAGTAATTGAAAGTATAGATACTTTCAATAACACAAGTATTCACAACCACTTGAAAATAAAAAGTAAATTGTGCTCAAAGCTATTAAAAAAACTACAATTTATAACTTTACAATATTTTTTGCCCCTTTTTAACAGTAGCCTTAATACCTACACTTAGAATTTTTTAAAAGTCTTCTCTGCATAAAAGTAGTATGCATAATTTTTTCAAAGCAAATCATGCCTAGATGACATTTTTCAAGGAAAAAGGATTGTTACAAAATTCTACACATGTGAAAGAAAAGTTGTTCTTTCTTCAAAAAAAAAAGCCAATTCTCAATATATAAGTTTTCCTTGTCCAAGAACTTACACTGTTACATATAGGACAATTGTGAAGTACCTAAATACATTAAGATCTATAGAAAAAGAAAACTGATTTACTATACTATCTTTAATTTATCAGTTCCCAAAAAAGGTGGATTCTGACAACAAAAATATAAACTATAAACAAAAATATAATTTGTTCTATACTCACACATCCATAAGTAGTACATAAGCTTTACTGTCTTTTGGAATTCTACAGGAATGTCTACAGAAAAATCCTGATAGAAACAAGGTCCCACAGGAAAATTGGCAGGAAGAGGTGGCCAGTTATTTTTTCTGCCTGTAAATTAAAAAAAAAAAGTTATTTACATTACAGCAAATATGTGCTATTATTTTTGGCTTCATAATAAAGAACCCTAATTATTTTATTAGATGTTACTTAAAAATGTAACACTGTATCTCTACATTCCTACAACTTTGAAAGCCAAGCTTTATATTTTTC